CCCTGAGAAGCAGAGACAAAAGAAACACTTCACTGCTAAACCCTAAACCCTAAACCCTAAACCCTAAGCTGTATGCCCTATACCCTTTGCAGAGCCCTCTCTTCGCTAGCAAAGAGGAAAAGAAGAAGAAAGGGTTTAGGGTTTACGAAGAGTAAAGATTTAGGGTTTAGGGTTTATGAAGAGTGAAGATTTAGGGTTTAGGGTTAGAGGAGGAGGGAGATCGAGGGTTTAGGGTTTAGGGTTTAGGGTTTAGGGTTTATAGACCTTATACGTTTCCAGGGGTCGAATCTTTTTGCTGCTTCTGCTGCTTTTTGTCTCTCTTCTGCTGTTCCGTCTCCTAGGAGCACCTCAAGATCGCTGTCAGCTGCTGCTGCTGCTGCTGCTGCAGCAGGAAACATATCCTGCTGCAGCAGCAATAGATCTACTGCTTGATAAATAAGCTCTACGTAGCGAGTTGTGTTTACTAACAAACCCTCATAAACCCCGAACACTTCTCCTTTCTTCTCGCCCCACTCCGTCGAGCCCCCAGATGGTGAACCAAAGTACTGCACACAAACCCTAAACCCTAAACCCTAAACCCTAAACCCTAAGCCCTAAACCCTAACTTGTGGGCCTAGGGCGTTCTCTCTAGCTGAAACGAAAAGTATAGAGAGAAAGAGAGAGAGAGAGAGAGAGAGAGAGAGAGACAGAGAGAGAGACAGACGAAGAGAAGGAAGGTTTGGAAATTAGGGTTTAGGGTTTAGGGTTTAGGGTTTAGGGTTTGTAGAGGTTGGCGTACAGAGGAAACATCTTCGAGGTGTATAGGCAGGTCATCGCGTTCTTCATTAACAATTTCTTGCTGAAGAAGCAAATAAAGACGAAAAGAAAAACAAATAGAGACAAACAAATAAAGATAAAGGAGACAGATAAAAGAGACAGATAGAAGAGACAGATAAAGGAGACAGATAAAAGAGAGAAGGACCCCCTAAACCCAAACAACATTTAAACTTCATCACCGCAGCAGAAAATAAATAAACAGCAGAGACAGCAGAGTCAAAGGAGACAGAAGGAGACAGATAAAAGAGACAGAAGGAGACAGATAAACGATTAAGAGAGAAAGAGAGAGAGAGCTAAGGGTCGCCAAACCAGCAGCAAAACAGCAGCAGCAACGCTTCAGCAGCACTTGCTCACAATATAATTTCTGTATTTATACTCTCCATGAGGCAACTGCTGCTGCTGCTGCTGCTGCTGCTGCTGCGGGTCATAGAAGTCGTCAGTAAAGTTTAAAAGGAAGTCTTTCAGCAGCAAAATGTGTTCTTCAAACTTAGAAACTTCAGCCATAACCTTGCGCTGCAGCTGCGCATCATCTGATAGCAGAAAGGCAGTGTGTTGCTGCTGCCGCTGCAGCGTTGAGATGCACATCTGCTGCTGCTGCTGCTGCTGCTGCTGCTGCTGCTGCTCCGGCAGATCAGAACCAACTGCCGCAGCCACCATCCTCCCTCTTAGCAGCAAGCAAGACAACGAAAGAGAAGAAGAAGAAAATAAAAGAAAATATAATACAATACTCAGGTGTACAGACACCTGCTACAGTCTGCGAGCACTCGGCGGGAAACAAGAAGAAAGATATTAAAGAAGTTGAGGTAGTTTTGAAGATTTAATTAAAAAAATAAATGAAAAAAAGAAGAAAAGAAACAAAGTTATTGAATAAAATCCAGAAACCCTAAACCCTAAACCCTAAACCCTAAACCCTAAGAGAAATTGTATAGGTGGGGTTGGGTGTACATACACCTCAAAACCCTTGGGTTTGTTCGTTTTTGTCTGAATATTTGTATATTTCTCGAGTCTTTTCAAAGCTATTTATATTTGCAAACAAATAAATATACTTCAGCACAAAAAGAAAAGAACAAAACCCTCAAACACTCT